TTCCTCTTTGTCTCAGGTCACCATTTTTGTTTGGATTCCGTATCCTATTAACACACACACACACACACTTTTATAGAATGTTCTTCACTGTTTTTTAATGTTAAAATTTGTCTTCTCTCAGTAGTGACAAATTTTTAAAGGTTATTTGAAAAGAATTCCTACTCATCCCATTTACTGTATATTTTGGTGTACAAGGTGACTGGATGTATAAGACGACCCCCAAATTTTCAAATTAAAATGTAGGCTTTGGGTTACATTCGCCCAACAAGATAACCTCCACCAAATCGTATTTTAAAATGTATTGTATTGAATTTATTAAATAAATTCAGTACGCATATATTTTCTTTTCACTCAAATCCTAATGAAAAATTGGTGGGTAGATATTGTCAATTAACTACCACAATCTACAATATCTTATGGTTATATGCCATTTACAGTTGGCTATTATAGTAGCCTGAATTACGTTTCCCCCTGCTAACCATCCACTTGTTCCACTATTCTTGAATGCAAACTTTAAATGGCGTATTGAGACACACATGCAGTTGTTTTTGTTCAATATCATAAAAAAAAAAATAAAATAAAAAAAAAATAAAGGAGGTGAGGCAAGGATTACCCTACCATCAAAAATCTCCCAGGCTAACAACTTACAATAAACCACAGGATTTAAGGTTAATATTTTATACCTGGAGTATAAGACAACCCCCTATTTTTTTTTAGGTGTGTGTGTGTGTGTGTGGGGGGAATAAACGATTACTAAAAATAATAGGGAATCAGCCTTTATGGAGATAAAAGGACACTAAGATAATAGGGAATCAGCCTTTATGGAGATAAAAGGACACTGAGATAATAGGGAATCAGCATTTATGGAGATAAAAGGACACTGAGATAATAGGGAATCAGCCTTTATGGAGATAAAAGGACACTAAAATAATAGGGAATCAGCCTTTATGGAGATAAAAGGACACTAAAATAATAGGGAATCAGCCTTTATGGAGATAAAAGGACACTAAAATAATAGGGAATCAGCCTTTATGGAGATAAAAGGACACTAAAATAATAGGGAATCAGCATTTATGGAGATAAAAGGACTAAAATAATAGGGAATCAGCATTTATGGAGATAAAAGGACACTAAAATAATAGGGAATCAGCATTTATGGAGATAAAAGGACACTAAAATAATAGGAATCAGCATTTATGGAGATAAAAGGACACTGAGATAATAGGGAATCAGCCTTTATGGAGATAAAAGGACACTAAAATAATAGGGAATCAGCCTTTATGGAGATAAAAGGACACTAAAATAATAGGGAATCAGCATTTATGGAGATAAAAGGACACTGAGATAATAGGGAATCAGCCTTTATGGAGATAAAAGGACACTAAAATAATAGGGAATCAGCATTTATGGAGATAAAAGGACACTAAAATAATAGGGAATCAGCATTTATGGAGATAAAAGGACACTAAAATAATAGGGAATCAGCATTTATGGAGATAAAAGGACACTAAAATAATAGGGAATCAGCATTTATGGAGATAAAAGGACACTGAGATAATAGGGAATCAGCCTTTATGGAGATAAAAGGACACTAAAATAATAGGGAATCAGCCTTTATGGAGATAAAAGGAGACTAAAATAATAGGGAATCAGCATTTATGAAGATAAAAGGAGACTAAAATAATAGGGAATCAGCATTTATGGAGATAAAAGGACACTGAGATAATAGGGAATCAGCCTTTATGGAGATAAAAGGACACTGAGATAATAGGGAATCAGCCTTTATGGAGATAAAAGGACACTAAAATAATAGGGAATCAGCATTTATGGAGATAAAAGGACACTAAAATAATAGGGAATCAGCATTTATGGAGATAAAAGGACACTAAAATAATAGGGAATCAGCATTTATGGAGATAAAAGGACACTGAGATAATAGGGAATCAGCATTTATGGTCTGTATACTAAAATTTAAAAATACATTTTTCATAATTAATTTTTCAAATTAAATTTTCAATTTCCTTTTCAAAGTGTGTGAGAGAGGAAGCTTTTTATTTTTATAAATGATAAAATATAGTTGTTAGGTATGCTATATTTACAAGTTAAAGTGCTCAATATCAGAAATAGAGTGTATGTAAATGTGGACACTGAAGTCTGTTTCATGCTTAAACAAATCCTCAAGCCATATTGCATTTAAGCATGAAACTGTTGCCTCTGGGTGTTGACTTCAACGTCCACTTAGAAGTGGTCACTGAGGTCAACACTGGGTAGAGACAGTGTTTCATGCTTGAACACAATCTTCAGGCCTGACGATTACATTCAAGCATGAAAAAGACTGTCACCACTCAGTGTTAACTTTTATATTTATATACGCTCTATCCCTGTTACCCATAAATATAGCATATCTTAAAACTACATATTTATCATATATATAGCTCCCAGACGAGTGGATGGGGTGATTCCAGGAGAGCCCATCTACAAAACTCTGGAATCAGGATGCTGAAGATAACATCAATCATCTAAGTGAAAAACCTTTTACTTGCATTAATTCTCTTTCTCTCTCTCTCTCTATATATATATATGTGTGTGTGTGTGTGTGTGTCTTATATAAATAAAATTAAATTATATATGTTGCTTTGTACTTTTTCACATTAATGAATGTGTATTTATTTTTAGCATTTCATGTACTTCTTAACCTCTTAATTGGTTGTTATTATTATAATGGCTCTGATGTCTTTTCGTGTAATGGATCACTTTTTTTGCAAAGAATAAATGAGCAATAGGTTAGACAGATATAACAGGGCACCTCGAGGTGGCGTAACGGTTAACAAGCTTGTCTCGCTAGATCAATTACGGACGAGTAGTGACTTCGATCCTCACTGGGTGCCTCATAATTTCGGTCTAGTGCCACATCTCAGTGACACTTAGAAAATCATTTGGGCACTTCGATTTAGTGTAATGGTTAGCAAGCTTGTCTCGCTAGAACAATTACGAGTAAGTAGTGAATTCGATCCTCACCTGGTGCCCCTTACTTGTGCCACATCCAAGCTACGCTTGGAAAATCACTATTAAAAATACCTCAGAAATGGAACTAATACCCACAGCTCAAACATTTCAATTATTTCTATGTATATCTTGGAATAAATGAATACATATGTCCAAATTCTTCTATATCTTTTTGAAGAGACTAAAAAAGCAGTTATATTGAGGTTATTGGTGGATCTAATATACCAGATTTAATCAATTCAATTATTTGCAATCATGTATTTTAGCACTCCTTTATGGAGAAAAATTATTAGCTAGTAAGTTGTTAGAGTAGTTCCTTTAAATTCAACTATATATATATATATATATTAGTTGTACTGATGTGAGTCACATCAATACCGCCCGGTCAACACTCCTCCCACTTCTTGGACATGAGCAGAGGCTTACGCCTTGTTTTTTGTTTAGGAAGGGGTTCCCGGAACTCTCTCTCTCTCTCTCTCACTCACTCACTGGCCTCTGATCTATCCACTACCCTTCTCCTCATCCTTTCTTCTATCTCTCCTATCTGATCTTGCTCCAAATTTTCTGTAACCCCTTGCGTCTTAGTGGCTTTCCGCCTTGCTTGGGGGTGAAACGCTTAAAAAAAAAAAAAATATAATACAACTAAGCATGTTAGCTCTATCACTGATATATAGTGCTTTCCAATAAGTACCATGCACATATATATATATATATATATATATATATATATATATATATATGGAAATTACACAGACACACACACACATATATATATATATAAATTACACACAGACACACACATATATATATATATAAGTTACACACAGACACACATATATATATATAATATATATATATAGAAATTTTACACAGACACACACACACACACACACATATATATATATATATATATACACACATACACATCACTGATAGTATGGCACGGAGTTTTATGTGCTACTAGTGAGGGATAATACGGATATTATTTAATATATACTTGATAGCTCTGCTATATTACATCACGCACTGTTCTATTAACACCATCACTATATGTGCTATATATCATTATTATATTTATATATATTATATTATTATTTAAAAACAGAACCCCTTGAAGGATGGTCATTAGCAAGAAATTTCGAAATCAAGGAAAACAACAACAACAAAAAAATGATATTAAAGTTAAGTAATCTTTTTATATAATATTATATATATACACACACAGAGACACACACACAAGTTTCATTAAAAACAACTGACAAGGTACTGTTGTTAAGTTTTTATTTAATTTTTTTTTGTGTTCTTAGAATTTTCTCCTTTCCTGGACATAAATTATGTAGAAACTGTCCAAATGCTCTGTATGTCCAAGTACTTATGTCTAAATAAAGTCTCTGACTTTTTAAAGAGTTATCTGTACTTTGATTTTATTTACTAGTGTCAATTTTGAAACTGTGTTCATGTCATTGATAACTGTGTACTATTACGAATTGGGAAAAAGAACAATATCAGTAGTATGCAGTTATCACTGACATACTGATTGTTTTTTATGTCTTATCAACCCAATCAATGACATAACCACAGTTTCAAAATTTACATATGTGAATAAAAACAAAGCATATCTGAATTTCCAGCATCATTACACTTTTGTTTTGAGACTATTATTAATTAAAACTTATGAATTCTTAATTTCTGGCAAGTAATTTCTGGAAAGCGTGAAACTATGGATAATTGATTGGTTTGTTTTTTTTTTTTACAGTTTATCAAACTTTTGCAGGTTATTTAAAGCCATAAATATTTTTAGATTGTAAGAATTCTTTTTTTTTGGAGATAATAATGATTTATTTATACAAGTCTTACTAATTAACCCATAGCTGGAGGAGAAGAGGTGGTATTATATTTTTCTCAATGTTATTTGCGTGTAAGTGAACATGACTGGAATTGGAACTCTGCTTCCCGATTTCCAATTCTGAACCATTGTTCATTACACCACCAAG